TTTTCTGAGCCAAAGAGACAGCAAAGCGGGGTGGACGGTCTGCCGAACTTTCACCCCGCAAATGACAGCTGGGCGGATCCAGCCGTGATCTCACGGTTGACTCCGCCCAGTTGTAATGACAGATCAGCGTCCCCAAATGACCTGGGGACACTGAACTATCATTAAACAATAACTGGGCAGAGCCAGCTGTGATGTTATGGCCGGCTCTGCCCAGTCGTTATCCATTGGCCATTTTCTATTCTGCTCGGTACCACAGAGGTACAGAGCAGAATAGCCAAGTAGAATGACGCTCGGCGGCATTCAGCTATTCACTCACTGCCGTTCGGCCCAGATGTTGGATTGCAGAAGGACTTCGACTCAGCCGAACATGCTGACCGAAGTGCAGCCGAAGGCAGCTGATGTATGGCTTAGATCAGTCGTACTGAGTCGGAGTGAATAGGCGAAGGTTGTTCGGCTCACTTCACTTCAGCTGGGTTATTCACTCGGCTGCCCCCTAATATTTTTACAGGAGTGTGTAGACTGTAGGCTACAGTGAATCTGTGAATCACTATTCAAAGTGGAATGTCCATATGCAATGTGGGGGCTTTTTGGCATTACATGGTAAAAGCAGGAGTGCATTACTAGTTGTCCATTATTTTCTAACATTACACTAGTAGAGTGCCATAACTGCAGAGTAAGGATGCAAAGGGGTTAGTTTACCAAAGATCTAGAGGCTGTTTACTCAAATGAACACCGCTTCATTTGTCAAGTCAAATGAAGCTGTGCTCAATTTAAATACCCAATCATGTGGTAGGAGAATCTAAAAACATTTACATACACCACATACAATGCACCATATCACTCGGTAATGCACTACCATGTTCTGCGATGAATAATGTGGCAGGTACAATTTTACATTTTTTGTGGTGTATTAGGAAGCCCATTCAGATCGATAGACTGCAGTGACAGAGTGTACATTATTGTGTAACGTAATGTGCATTATCACACATGCGTTAAATGCACTTACATCCCATCCCTCAAGGGTCTTCAGTGCATCTAGCTGTATGGTTGCCCTCAAATGTACAGAATTCTTTGCATAAAAATTGGTGGTACAATGTTATGCTTAGCAATAAAATTTGGTCATGCTTAGGTGACATTTTTCAACATCATCTTGATATTTATGGAATATAGCAACCACCAATGATTTCTACAATCGCCCTACTATCAGGCCTCTGTGCAAACTCACGATCTATGCATATATTTTCCCTATGGATGTGGGCATCCTGCCATAAGACTTGCAAAAGATACTTAATATTTGACACACCAATAAAAATAAAATTGATTTATGATCCTCTTTCATCGCCCTAGCTGGCTTTTGGTTCTTGCTTACCTGATGTATTCAGCACAGAAAACTTGAAAAAAAATTCTAATATGGCAATGCTCTCTTTTTTTATAATATGTTTTATAAAGCAGCTTTTTGGAAGGTTTAGTCAGGTACTAAAAGAATTATGTATATGAGCACTAAATTGGGATCTTCTATCTCACCAAAAGAAAGTGTACTATAAATGATAGCTCAATAACAGTTCATTTTGTTAGGGCAGGCTTTTGGGAGATCTCCCAAAAGCCTGTTGTGGCAAATAAGAAAAATAGAAAAATATTAGATACACATGATTGACAAGGAAATATTTTGTGAAATAGACTGCGGGGTAAATCCGGCAGAGGAATATCTTTCATTTCTGAATAAGATAGTGAGGATGAAAATGGCATTTAAACAAATAAAACATATAAACCAATCATCTAAAATAACAGTTGGATATCAAGCAGAGCCCAGGGCACAGCATTATACATGACAAGGTCCTTTGTCATAGTATCTGGCCAGTATCCCAGAGATGTCAAACTTCAAAACCACAATAAAGTTAAAGGTGAGACTGCCAACTATCAGTCCATTTACTAATAGTAAGTAGAAATTGAGGCTTGTACCTACAAGGACAAAGCAGAGGTCGTTAGTTGTAATGTGTATATTGTGCTTCTCGATGCATTCTGTGATGAATTTCAGAATCTACAAGCCTATTATCTTTTTATTCATGCAATTTTATTCACTACCAGTACGATAAAACTTCTGGAAAAACATCACGTTTCATCAGTGAAATGCTAGTCACCACCAATAAAAAATTAAACAGTTACACACTAAGGAGAAGTGAGCAGTAAGGTTGTGAATACTGATTAAAAGGAAACGGCTACTGGAGTGTTCTTGTTCAGTAGAATAGAATGTCTACAATATATACTTATTTTTATTGAAACTAGATTAGGGCATATACTGCTTTAAAGTAGGGATGTCCCGATACCACTTTTTCAGGACCAAGTACAAGTACTTCCTCTCATGTACTTGCCGATACCAATTGCCGATACTTTTTCTTAAAGGGACAGGTGACATTTAAAAAAAACAAACAATACAGACTAATGATTTTAGGCCAATTTCTTTATGATTATGAAGAACTTTAATTTAAGACTGTTTTAGAACAATAAAACATTTGTATTTGCTTTCACACAGCTACAGTGAAACTACAAATCTGATCATGCATCTGCTTGTGGGATCATTCAAACTATTCATGTTAGCAGGGAAGAATTGTAACTCTATTCTGCAGTGTACTTGAAGTGTGTGCTATGGATCATGTAACCTGGTACACACTTCCAGTACACTGCAGTAATAGAGTTACAATTCTGCCCTGCTAACATGAATAGGTTAAATCGTGATCCATAGTACATAACATGTAGTTGTACTATGGATCATTTAACCTATTCATGTTAGCAGGGGAGAAATTGTAACTCTATTGCTGTAGTGTAGTGGAGATGTGTGCTGTATATATGTACTACATATACAGTACACACTTCCAGTACATTGTAGCAATAGATTTCCAGCCAGCCCTGTCCCAGCTTCCCACACTCACAGTTTCACTCCGATCCCTGTTGCCTCACTCTGTGCCTTACGCTGTGCCTCTAGTAGTCGGCCTGGGCAGGATCGCTGCATCGCGTCTCGGTGCTCAGCTTGTAGGAGGCGCTCACAATTCTCCCCTGCTAACATGAATAGGTTAAATGATCCATAGTACAACTAAATATTATGTACTATGGATCTTTTAACCTATTCATATTAGCAGGGGATAATTGTAAATCTAGTGCTGCAGTGTACTGGACGTGTGTAACATACTGTACATGTAATATGTACTACATATAGAGTACACTGCAGCAATAGATTTACAATTATCCTCGGCTAACACGAATGGGTTAAATGATCCATAGTACATGACATGTACTACGGATCATTTAACCTATTAATATTAGCAGAGGACAATTGTAAATCTATTGCTGCAGCGTATTGGGAATATGTACTGTATATATGTAGTACATATAAAGTATACTGCAGTAATAGAGTTATAGATTTGAAATGATCCTCTGCTAATATTAATAGATTCTTCATAGGGACTCCCCTTGCCCTCACTCACTGCTGGATGATGGCCGGTGCCTCACGATGTGCCTCGCTGGTGAGGTCGTAGTCGGGACTGTGCGGGAGAGCAGCGGTGAGTCAGCGCTGGTCTGGTGGGAGGAGCTCCAGGTGGGGGTCCCAATTTAGCTGGCCGGCGACTGCCCGGTTGCCAGCCAGCTAAATTAGGACCCCACTTGGAGCTCCTCCCACCGGCCAGCGTTGACTCGCCGCTGCTCTCCCGAACAGCAGCCGGAAGGTAAGGGAAAAAAGATTGCGCAAGTTTCGGCGCTATGTATCGGGGCATTTTGACAAGTACAAGTACTTGTCAAAATGCCCTGTATCGGTCCCGATACCGATGCTAGTACTGGTATCAGGACATCCCTACTTTAAAGCAAAGCTTTAGGATTTTTTCTTTCACAATTTCCCAAATTAAGCCCAAATGGGAACCTAGAATATTTAACAGTTTTGGGCACCCCAATTCAATTAACAAAAATACTGAGCCTGAGGCATTGTTTACTCCAGTGAGTAAACAAACCCTCATACCCCCCACTTCAATTAACATAACCAGCTACTGAGCCTGAGGCATTGTTTTCTCCCTGTAAGTAAACCCAACCTGCATGCACAAACCCTCCTGCGTTCCATTGAGGTGCGATCACAAAAAATAGCGCGTGCACGATTTTTAGCGATTGCACCACAATGGAATGCAGGGCATTGCGGTACCACGCATTCCAGTGCGAGCAATCACTCTGCGGGTGGGAGGCGTGTCTGCGGTGTCATTGTAATTATTGGCATCCCCCTCACCTCAAAATGCGGGGAAGCTTTGCGTATGCGACCCAGTGCATTCATGGCACAGCCCTCAAACAAATGTTCAGCAACAATAAACTGGGAATCATGTAGGGAATGTGAAGAACTTTTTTTTGTCTTAGCAGCATGGCCTACTTTCTCAAGACATAGCAATTAAAACATACAGAATATGTAAAGACAGAGTACTGGTTTTGCACTTTTAGTATTTGTCGTTGTACATTTTTAATTGGTATGCCCTGAAGCAGTGTGCCATGCTGCTTATATAAAAATGTGTTTTTAATCATATCTGTGAATGACTATGGTAACTCTTTTATGGGTGTTTCCCAAATGTGTGGCTGGCTAGCTAACTAGCCAGCCACACATTTGACAGCGTCTGCATTACCCACTATCTGTTCATAGAATACATACATTTATGTATATAGATACAGTATGTAATAAAGGGGGACCCCCCTTGGGCTAAACCAGACAGGGCTAATTGATAACAATAGCAGTTATCACACCAAAAGTAATTGTTCATCTATGTAAAATATTACATTTTACTTCAGGGCAAGACTCTGTGTCCTAGCAACAGGGACAGTGGCCGGAGTAAAATGAGTGTCAGGAAATTAGGCTGGGCATCTGCTTCCAATTTATACACAACCTACGGATTTCTGGGAAGGGGAGATTGTTCTTTCTATAGTGGAGCAACCCTAACTTGACTGTTACAGTGGCTCCCTAGCAGGTGACACAGGTTCACCCAAGGGACAAGGTCTAAGTGATAGTAGGTCTTCACCAGAGCTCCTGAAGGTGGAGATGGGTCAGAGACCCAAGTGGTTCCAGTTTGCTTCACTAGTTCATGGAGCTCATGATCACCCCACCAATGGGTAGCAGGAACAAGGATGGCTAGAGACTGTACACTAGGTGGCAAGGCAGGGGTCTTGGCAGGCAGCAAATGAGAAAGTAGTAAGGTCCTGGCAGGGGTACAGCTATGTGGCAATAAAAAGAGTAGTCAGGTCCAAGCAGAGGTCGAAGCAGGCACCAAACAATAATGTGCATATAATAGCCAGTGCTAACAGTGTACCATAACTCTCTTCAAACAAAATGGTGATCCTTGGAGGGAGGCAGCAGACCACATCTGACAGGGAAATCTTCAAATACATGCAAAACAAACAAAAAGGACAGCACCTTCTCCTCGTGGAGTATATCAAATGTATTTATTAAATAATAAAAACATTAAAACTACTCACAAAAGGAGATTATCATATATGCATGTACTGGTATCCTGCATCCAAACATCACATGTCACAGCAAAGAACCAATGTACTGACAAACGGTTGGTTGCCACCTTTTCATCAAGTGAAACCCAAATATTTTTTTTTAGAGTATAGAGGAGAGAGCGAGGAGAGGCAGCCAGGGGAGGGAGTACGGAGACCAGCTATAGTGGACTACAAATCCCAGCAATACATTATACAGCAATACAAAATAATATGAAGCTACATACTCTGTGCTGTTCTGGGTTGGTGCCCTAATGTCTCCAGGTTGCCTGGTGGCCTGTGCGGGCTCTCAGATGGGCTGTGCAGCTCTCAGGTGGGCTGTTGGACTGTCAAGGGTGAAAAATGGGTGGGTGGCAACCCTAGGACCAATCCTGCCTGTTACCATGAAAAACTGACATGTTTTTGGGGCATACCCCCTTCATCAGAGTTATGATGTACAGTAGTAGTTAGTTAGTCTTTTTATTATTTATTAAATACATTTTATATACATCACGAGGAGAAGGTACTGTCCTTTTTGTTTGTTTTGCACAAAACAATAATGTACAAGTATTATAGCTCTTTGTAACAAAGGGTAGCTGGTGAGAAGACATAGCACCAGTCACTTTAAAGGCTGGAGGTTAAAAATGCTATTGGCCAGAGGACACACCCAGCATTGCTTCAGGGAGCGTTGAAGTCCTGGCAGGGCCATTGGAAGAACTGGCTGACAAGCCGAGAAGCTACTATATCAACTGGCAGTCTAGTGCAACAGCCAGGTAGGCGAAGACTACGTTTGTGGAACTACAGGTTACAGAATAGCCTTAAATGTTCGTGAAACTACAGGTAACAGAATAGCAGTGCATGTTGGTAGCAGATCATATACCTTCTTCACCCCCTTCCCCCAGTAACATTTCGTTGACTGACACTGCGGCCTGAGTTTCTATGATCTGTGTCAATGATTCTATTACCCTTATGTGTTGATTTAAGGAAGGGATTTTAATTGGGACCTTCCAAACACAGAACAGACAGTTGCATGTCTTCTCCAGAGGAAATAAGATCTTCTGTTAGGAAGAATTTGCACAGAGGGTCACAATATGACATATGTCTTAAGAAATGGGGAGTTAAAAGATAAGTGCACTTTAAAACAGGGTGCAGTTATTCTTTAGGCTCCTTTAAGGTGACATCAACCCTCCCTCCCTTCCCATGCACACATGAAGGCTTTCCGAGTTCCAACAGGCCCAGGCCTTCATTGATTGTTTATGTTTATGTTGTGACATTGTAAGGTAATCACATTGGCACAATGACAGTGCCAGGTTTACAGGAGTAAACACTCCTTTGCCTCAGTAGCAAACCCCCAACTGGCAGTTTTTTTTCCATGTCTTGGAAATCAACTTGTTTAGACATTGGGATTAGAACATCTCTCACTGAGCTTCTGGTTTGCTCCAGGTGTAAGCACTGCAGGTCTCATAGGCCCCCAATGCTAGGGTCGTGTGCGTGGCAATACCATGGTGTTATGTGGCATAATGTCAGTGCTGTAAAGTTCTGTAAAAGTGATCACTTTTGCTAAGTAGCCCTGAGCCTGCTGCTAAAAATTGATTCCAATAATCACGTCAATGCCAGGGCATAAAGAACACGCCCAAAGGGCTTATGTCGAGATTATGTTGTTTCCCCGCTATAAATGGAGCTAAAGCACATAGCACTGACTGGAGGAAATCTCAACAATCATAAAAAAGAGGAAACAGCAGTTACTATGTGCTTAAAGCAGAAGGATAATGTTACCTTTGTAAAAGGATGGCTAACAAGTATACATAAAGTAGTGCAGTAAACTAACATGTGGATTTGGCCGTATCTTGGTGTGTACAGGTGCTCTGAAATCGTCTGCTGTCCTTTTTGTTCCTATGGTGTTGTGTGTTGGATTGTAGAAACTGACAAAACAAACTCCTCTGAAGTTCTTTTTTATTCATTACTAGGAACCTAAAATAGAGAAAGTTAGCAGTGCTGTGAGAATTCTTATATAACAAGATATATTGACTAGATGTAAATGGCCACAGCCCACCTTTTTTCTAAATCTACAGCTTAGTATGCAGTGAGCAGCAGAGCTATCTGCTACTTCCAGTCTCCCAGAAGGCCCCAGGGATCCATCACATTTCTTTCTTTGGAACCTGCTGGCACTTTGATAACAGTACAAATCAGCACACTTGCACAAGTCTAACAATCTTCCCTGTAACAGTTTGCCTTTGAAGTATATAACAAGCATTTAGGAGATTCTGGATGTGCCAAAAACACTGCTGTAACTTAATCCTTAGGAAAATAATTTGAAATCTTAAAATGCTAATTTTCCCAGGAGCAAACAGATTTTTTACAAGCTGATCCAGGCCATAAAGTGTTTAGCAATGAAAAGCTCCTATACCGACTCCTATCTTCTTTTTCCTTCTTGCAACTAGTAATCATTTTTTAGTTCTTATTTGATAAGTGCAAAGAGCTAAGATATTCATTACATGTAGCACCCAATCAGAATTTAGCTTTCAGTAATTATGATTATGCAGAACAATGAAAGATAGTTTATGCTACTTCTTAAGTTGTTGTGATGTCACCGCCCCTCATCCAATCGGATAAATATTTCATAAAAATACTAACTGTTTGCCGAATGGCTGCTGTGCCAAGTGAGAGACCCTCTGTGTTTTAACAGCAGAGAGGAAGTTGCTCAGCACAGTGGCTGTACAGGTTCCTGGAAGATCGCTGTAGCTGTGGCTACTACAGTGTTTTACAGGATCCCCATGGCCCTTCCAGGTATATAGTATACATAGTTACATTGGGGCATGCTGGACCAATATAAGTATATATATATATATATACATTTATACCTGGAGTTCAGCTTTAAAAAGAATGTCATCAATGAACATCACAATGGATTACATTGTTCCTAAGAAACAAATGTAATGTGCGTATCAGACCATGTTCTTCTACTAAGATACTCTGGTGCAGTGCTCTACACAGTGCCATCTTGCTCACATTTTGTCCAACAGTCACTTCCATGCCTACTTCGCGTGCACCAGGCTATGAACTTGAAATTATTTACATATTCCTAACAAGCAACAGAAGACCTTTAAAACAAGCACTCACTGACCCCTGTCGCTGCAGGTACTGTGTGTGTACAAATTTATCTTCACATTTTAACCAGAGGTAATAACATTGGAATTCCTCTCACATTTCCTCTGGCACCAGACTTGGCATCTTTCCACCTTTTTAATGTAAACTAACACAGGATGAAATAATTCCCAGTTCATGCAGTTAAGAATGTGTATGTAGTACTGTAGGCCAAATTCATAAAGTTGCATTGTGGTAACACTCGGGTAACACACATAATGCGTCTTGGTGCCCCACGGTACCAATTATTCTGGATGGCAATCCAACGCACCTGCGTTGCAGTGTTGTGGTGTGCTGCATTGCTAAATATAGTGCATGCACTTTTTTTGTGTGCTTTGGTGTGTTAGGAAGCCCATTCAAATGAATAAGCTGCTTTAAAGCAGCACACGCTAATATGCGTAATGACATGCATTAATACACTACAAGGATGTAAAAGGGCCAGCATTTCTCAACTTTTCTTCAGTTACGGCACCCATAAAAGTATGCAAATTCTCATGGCACCCAGGTCTAAAATGTAAAAAAGTAAATGTAAAAAATTACGTGTGGATTTCCCAAAACCAGATAGGGGTCTGGTGTAGATTTTAACGGGAGACCCCACGCAAAAGAAAACAAAATATCTAGGGTCCCCCTCCTTTCACCTCAGGAGTCCACTTCACATCAGGGTCTTCCCTTATAATAATCACCTCAGTGTGTCTAAAGCAGCATGGCAGAGGGTAGGGAGCGAAGAAGAAAATTAATTGATGGCAGGCACTTATGTATTATAAGGGTTAACACTGAAAGTTAGGAGTTTTATAGAAAAGTAATTAAGAACACCTTGCTCCATCAAGTAACTGTAGAAATCTGTCTATTAAAGGGACCAGAGGGAGTAGCAACCCAGTACTCTAGTGGAGTGTGGAACGTTAGGCACAGGTCATTAATCTTAGATATCTCACTGTGCTATGCATCTGTCTGTGCGTCAATAACATCAGCAGCTTAACTCCTATACTCCTGTACTGTATTGATAAGTGAACAGCAGTGGCTGTAATGCAACATACCTACAGAAATGTAACAACTACTGCAAATGTACCTTGTCAACAGAGACACCCATTGCCATAGATTACAGTTATCAGACCAAAAACAGGCCTTATCAATAGTTAAATACTAATCAAAGAAACCTTTTGTAGAGATACTTCTCACAATATTATAATATAACTGTTTAATAATGAAACATTTGGATTTTCAGAAATCAGCTAGGCCCACCTTGTGCCTATCCAGGTTACCCTTCTAGTTCAGTTTGTTGTTGGGTTTAGTAGGGATGAAGGAACCACTAGATTATTATTTCAGAGTCTGCTTTTTAAAGAGACCATGGACTGCTAAAGTTTACTAATAACTGTAAATGTTGCAAAACTCCTTTCAGGCAAGTTTGCAAAGCTTCAAACAGGTCCATTGACATGATCAAGGTCAAATTCTTGTTGCCACATCTCTAATATTTAGGACTGCATTAGGGGCTCAAACACTGCTCTACGGCACAGGGATGTTTTTCCCAACACAGCACAGTACATATTGCTTCTGAATAAAGTAAGCAAACTTATGGACGTTTCTCGGACAAT